ATCTTTCCTTGTAATTCTTCTCTGCTTCTTTATTTATTTAACAATTGGAAAATTGATACGAAGAAGGAAATTATACGCTGAATTACAACATGGAGATGTAATAGCGGATGTGCAAATGCTTCATGCATTAAATTATTATTTAATTAAGTTATATGATTACGGGGCTGTCAGCCATCAGACAAGATGGTAGTTTTACCGCAAAGCTTAAAAGTCAGAAAATGCTGAAAGTATGCACTTAAAGCCGAAATCGATTTGATTTCGTTTTTTATCTGGGGGACAAAACTTCGTTGAATAATGAAATTAAATTACCATGATAAAATAGTGTCTATATCTTTAAACAAGAAAAAATGAATAGCTAAAAAATGAGGTTACATTCAAAAACGCACACTTTACAGCTAATGAACTTAGGTTAAAGCCACTCGTAAAAAACATGTAAAAATTTTATGATCCAAATTACATTTGATTTTATAATTGTGACTTTTAGTAAACGTCGGATTGTTTGTTGTGAGTATAGTTATCTAATACATTATTATAATTTATCAAAACTTATGATAAAAACTTTTGTAAAGTAGAAAAAATCGCCAACCTCAAAGACCAGTATGCAAAAAAGAAATACAAGTTGCTTTAGAGCAGGGATGGGCAAACTGTTTTGGGCGTGGGCAAAAAATTAAAAAAAAAGTTTGGTGGGCTAAGTAAAACTAAAATTAAAAATAAAAAAAAATAGTGCGTGGAGTCCCTACGCGCGGAAGAAGTGAAACTTCGTAATGTGGAAATGAAAATAGGAAGGGGTAGAAATTGATCTTAAGTGAAATCATAGTGTTTCTTTAAGACAAACTTTATTAACATTGCTTACAATTCACAATTGATCGCATCTTTTAATTATCATTTTCGAGTGGAGAAATATCCAAATCTATAACATTTACAATGGGATTATGATAACTAAAGTAAGATACGAAATGTTTGAGTTCTATTTTTTCAATATTTCTTGCAAAAACTGCATCAATGGTAGTTCCCCCTTTGGTTGTTGGATCATTCCTACCATTTATCATTTCCAATCCAAATTTGTCTTTAAGGAAGGTTAATAATGTTTCAGCTTCAGGTAACGAGAAATTCACATTAAAATCTCCAGCAAGGATCACAGGCCGCTCGTTGCCATGGTAGCGTTAAACGTTTAACGCAACCTTGTTGGAAGTCGTATTAGAAGTTTCACTTCAAAAAACGATATACAAATTTTAATCCAAATATTTAATAAGATGAATGAAATTGTGCTTTTATTTTTAAAAGTTCCTTATATTGTGGTTCGAAGTGAGATGTATTTATTTTAAGGAACGAGACTAAATGCTTGTCTGTTAGTTTACTTCAGAAATGATTTTTTTCTAAGGTTCATAATTGAAAACACTTGTTCACATATATAAGATGAAGCAAACATAGCACTGATTGTCTGGGCATGTGAAATTTGGGAAACTAGTTTTTGATAATGATTTGCAAAACTCAAACTTTGGCATATTTAGAAACAACTGCTTCAGGTGATTGTTACAACTAAATTAATTTAATCTAGAAATCCGACCTCACTGTTTCACACTTTACTTTGAAAGGCATGGTAAAAATATCTAATTCTGTTTGAATTCTGCATTCAAACTCAAAATGTAGTTTTTTCGTGTTTCGATTCTTAGTTAAATATAAACGTGTATTATTTAACCAGCCTGTATTACTGAACGAAACGAGTTTCGATTCTTAGTTAAATATGAGAAAAATTGAGGTTAGATATGACAATTTTTCAGGAAATAATGCTATTTTAAAGTTATAACAGTGTTTGTATAATATAAAATTTAGACAAAGTTTTCGACAGAAAAAAGTTTATTAAACAACTTAAAATACGGCCTGCACTAATTAATTAACATATTTGAATTCTTTTAGTTTGAGTCCTAGTACGTTAAGATCCGATCATTAGAACAAAAGTTATTCAGGGTGATTCGTTTATTTTTACATGTTGCAGCTGCATTACCTAGCTGATTAGTTTGGTTTGTGGAAGTTTATTACTCTCCTTCTGTCAACCAATTTATTGATTGAAAAATGAATCAAATACATTATGTTAATTGCAATAATGTTTTAAGCCGTTTGATGCTTTGTAGTAGAGTTGAGATAAATGATTGATTTGCTCAACTAATATGTTAATTGATTGATTGTAGTAGTTTTTCAGATGGCAAAAAATAAATAGCATGATGTTCATTTAAACGTTCCAACAAAGATCTGATATTCACTGATACTTTCTAGGTAGTTTGCAGACTATCTAGGTAATTTGAGAAATTATGCAAGGCACTATAACGGATCACCTTAGTTGATCTGCACAGTAGCTTAACTAATCTGTAGAATTGTTAATATTTTTTTACACATTAGCCATAACATGTCGTGCCATTCGCCTAAATCCCACGGATGATCACCACATTTATATACATAGTAATCTAGACTGGAAAATATATTTATTAATATGATTTTGTGAAGAAGATGTCTGACATGGGTCAACGCACTCCAAAAATCAGATAATAAAAAAATGTTAAGTACTTTTGTTCTTTGTTTATGATTCCTAAGATAAACACATTAAGCGTTTTATAAGAAAAGTATTTCTCCAAGTAATAGATATGCAATTCGAAGTATTTTAGATTGTTAATTCGTCTAGCTATATGTTATCAAAACATGCTTTTAGAATAATGTTTTAAAAAAATACTAAACAAACAAAGAATGTAAAAATATCTGATATATTGATAAAATATTTTTTAACGTTATAAAAAAAAGACAAAAACAAATCTTATTTTTATAGATTTTATTTAATTTTACTTTTGATCGAAGAACGTTGGTGACGTTTTTTATACTTATATTTTATACAACACAAGAAAAGTTAATAAGACTCTGAAGTTTTACAGATATCCATATAACACTTTTTATTGTGTACAGAATATTTTTATTTTCATAATTTAATCACGAAAAGAATAAATTAAATTAGCTTGCTCTAGGATGATTGACTTATGATTAACTTATGAAGTATTACATAAGTAAAATTATTATAAGTAATAATATTACATCAAGTAAAAAGTATATACATCAATACAATAATATTTACATCAAGTAAATATTATTACATCAAACTGGAGTAATAATATTTTAGCGTTTCACTGGCCTCAAGAGGCACGATATTTCAGTTACCCGTTCTTATTAAGTTTGATATGAAAATGAAGACTGTTTATTGTTTCAGACAATATATACGTGGCTGATGTTTTTTTAAAAAAATGACAAATTAATTATGTGCTTCATTAACACAGAATTAATAAAACGCTATAAACAGAACAGCGCAAAATCGATAACAAGACCACAGTTGGCAGTTCAGATTTGGAGAATACTTACAGAATTGAAACATTAAATATTACGTATGATATTGATGCTTAACTCGAGGGTATACACTTTGAGAGACAGAAATGTCATTTATGCCTTTCTTAATTTAAATAATATTTTGTTTGTTGGTAATGAAGTCACGTTTAGTTTATCTGTATAATATTTTTTTCTCTTTCATATAGTAACAAAATTCTATGAAATGAATTGACTCAATTTGAATTTTATTTAAATTCTAAACAAAAGTTTTATTTTTCACATGATTTTTAATAAAATTGTGGGTTAAAAATCACATTTAACGTATATAGTACTTACGCTAAAATTAACTAATATCATCTTTTTCCCAAGGAATTGTTTTGCCTAGATTATCTATCTGGTGTGTGACCTGTGAGATTTGAGTAATGTGGCTCTCGGGCGCAAAAAGTAGAAAATTCGAAACTCTATATCCAGTATTTCAATGAATAACAAGTCAAAGACACCATGTGTTTATAAATATTATCACGTTGAAGTGGTTTAATACAGATGACAAGATGAGGTTTAAATAATGAATTTAATAAAGTGCAGAAAGTACAAATGACGAGAACCAGTCTGCACTAAGAACTGGCTGTTTATAATGAAGGGATCGCTTCGAATGAAGGGATACTAACACAGAACGTTCTAGAAACTTCCTAGAAATAACTAAAGAGGAAATGATGTAAATTGAATGTACTAGAAGCTTCTGGAATGTTCAGATAATTAAATAAGAAAAATTGGGAATTAGTGTCCGCATCCCGTATCGAACCTGGGACCTTCTGCTTTGTAGATTCGAATTATACCACTGAGCTACTGAGACTTAGACTGCTCGGCAATATATTATCAGAGAATTTTTTTAAAATAAAATAGTAAATGATATAGAATGTGGGATTTTATAGCCACCACAGAACCCTCCTCCAAGAATGGAAAAGAATTCGAAAGAAAAGCAAATACTATTATGAAAAAGGGAAGAAAGAGATTTAAAAATTATAAAATTCATTTTGAGAAGATGATTTAAGCAAAACCGTTGTACTACTGAGCACAGAAAACGTCGCTTGATGTTAAAACATGTTTTCGTTGAGTTGTGAATAAGTTCCGCTTGTGTATACATTTGTATTTTGATTACATTAATTGTGCCGTTTATTAAGGCAAATTAAGAATGTTGTACTTATACAACTATACGGTTTAGCTGGTTTCATTATAAGCGATGTCGAAACCATGTCGATTCTTTGAGATACTAACATTCAACTTTTTTAACAATATAGTTTTGACTCGATTTCCTAGTTTAAAAAGAAAAAAAAAATCATTTACGAGAAGAAAAAAGAACAATGGTGGATTAATATTATTATGTTATTGTCTTAAGAGCAATGTTTTGATTATTTAAATTGTTATTTTCTTCTTGAATCCTATCGTATAATGATGTAAACAAAACAAAGCAAAGAAAGCAGACCAACGACTTTAGATAAGGAGCTGCTTGTTAGTCTTGTTGCGTCTGAATATATTCCCAAGGACAAATTATTTTATTGCACAATTTTGATTACATTTATTGAGGAGGCGAGAATGATGACGTTTAGCCTTTGACTGAGCTTCTTTCTTTCTCTCTCTTTTTAGTTGTGTTTCAAGATGAAGATAAATATTTTCTTTTTTTCTCTTATGATTGTGCATAGTTTATATTGGGTAAGTTACTTCGTTGTGGATAACAATGGAAAATCTTATTCTGTAGAAATCTTTGTTTGAAATAATTTCCTATGCTATTTTAATCCATTGCCAAGGACAATACAGTAAGTGTTAGCAGTATTTTACTGTTATACAAAAAATATTGTATCTGTTTCTTCATTCATACAAATATTGCGCGTTTTCAAAACATTTCGCAAGTCCTGAGCACCATGCCTTTCATATTTATAAACATTTTTTTCTGAATGAATTTATGATAGTTAATTATTGTCTGCTTCTGTCGTTTAAAGGTCGTATAAATATTTCTTTCGAACTAAATACCTATAAGCATTCACAGTTTTGAATAATCGCGATTGACATTGTCTTTTTTATATAAGAAGTATTTCAAACATTTCCTTTCTTCCAATTGTTTTTTTATAACCGGCGTGGAACAGCTGACCCAATTCTGAGTTTACAAACATAAATGTTCAACTCTGTAGACTTGTAATTTTGAACCCTATTCAGAAAACAAGAGAATTCCTTGATCAAGTTATCGGACTAACTAGATTTCGTGGAAGATGTTTAGATGAAAGCAACGAGCATTTACGTTACATAGAGAGGAAAACTGCGAAAACCTCCTACGGTTAGCCGACAGAAGGAAATCTAATCCATGATCCGACAATCAGTGGTAATGTTTTACGGGAACACTGTGTTTGATACGAGCCGCCCCTGGGATTCAAACTTGGGCCATCCACTGAGAATTGCGGCTCTCTCCTAATTGTTGGAAAATTCTCAGAATTGTTGTCCACGAGAGTTTGTTGGATGTGTCTACAAGCAGTGTTATTAAGTATATTCAAAGCAATTAGTTCCCGTACCAAATTAAGGAGAAATAAGTCCAAAACGCAATTTTAATTTTTCATACAAATAACAATTTTTTGTTTTGTTCGCGAACTTTCTTTTAACCCTTTCGTTACGGCAGTCCGCTTCTCTGAAATGATGCCACTGAAGGGTGCACCCTACCGCAAACTATGCACGTTGCATGTTGGTAAGCTGATTTGCACATTACACATTGCATGATGTGAACTTACTTTCAACTTGATGAGTGGAACAATTTGCATTAATGTTGAATAAAGAAAAAAATTACGAAAACCTTCAAAGGTTAGCCCAACGCAAATGGGATCTAAATTCAGTATTCGTAGCGTATTTTATGACATAAAGACTCTAATCGATGCCAGGACGATGATCTAAATCGATACCATTCCATATACAAATCAACCCATCATATTTGCGACTTAAATTGAGTCGCCTGAGACAGAAGAAAGCTGTACATCCCCAAGCTCAGGGATCGATCAAGACAAATTCAGGCCCAAGGCCCACCAAATTCTCCAGGCCCGTTACAAAATATTTTGAAATTAAATTACTGAAGTTGAAGTAATATTTTGAGTAATTAGTCCTAACAATAGAAAAGAATCTATTGAACTACATGATTCAAGATAAACATTCTAAGAAATTTTGAAATCGGATAATTGAAGATAAAGTTTATGTGTCTATAAATTAAAGCAAAATATAAAAACTACAAAAGAATGTTATGTCAAAATAAAAATAGTTTGGTGACCACAAATAATTGAAATCAGTGATTTTTGCTATAAGTCACTGATTAGCTGAATTATTTTTTTATTGTAAGCTATAACTATTTTTTATTTAGTACTTAAACCAACACAAAGCCATCCTACCTTTCATTAGACTTTTTACTAATGTTTGAGGCCCCTCAGAAATTGTGGGTCCTAGGCCCATGCCTATAGAGCCTAGGCAATAATCAGGCCCTGCCTAAGCTGCATTAACATTGGAAATATTTTGAGAACAATTATGTTGATCAAATTATAGTCTCTGTAAGCGTTCCAATAGGTTAGTAAATCGTTGGGGGAGGGGTACACTTTTTTATATAATTTTTAACAATTCCAAAAATTTTAATTTTCATAAATTCATTAATATTTGGTAAAGCTTCATTCGTAAATATTTGGCACAATACTTACCGCAAAACAAATATACTAATCAAACCAAGTGAAATGTTTCACTCATAAAAAGTAATATGTCATGACAATGCACGAATATTAAGACAACGTACAATGATAGAGGAATATAAATCATTACTCAATATTAATTTATGTCAGATCAGCTTGCAGGATCAAATTATCTACAAATCAACGATAGCACTTTTTCTCTCACGTTTTCGGGCTTTTTTTTTTGTAGCAACAACAGAAATATATCATGAAATGGCCTCACGCGAACCCTGCGTTTTTATTTTCTTCCGCTCAATGTCAATCTCTGTAAAGAATTAAAGTTATCTGGCAATGACACTGAATAGATTATGGTATTATTTTCATCTTAGGTGAGATTTGGGTGGTCAGTGGACGAGAGGTAAAGCCTTCAGCCGCAGTTCCGTATTAATGAACAATATGCTCTACAATATAATACCACCACGCGTGAAATGGTCCCTCGTAAGTCAAAAAATCAGATCTTTCATCAAATTTGATAATAAAAAACAAATGTCGATGGATTACTTGGGTGTTTCTATGATCCTGACTCAGTTCGTACTAAAGCATAAGATTAAATCAATGCTACATTATAGAAGGACATGGTGACAAAAAGTTCAAATTTTATCACCGCATGCTCTAGGTTTAACACTGTGTATGATACTGGGATACATATATATATATATATATATGTATATATATATATATATATATATAGAGAGAGAGAGAGAGAGAGAGATCTAAACCTCTAATTTCAACAATCACTAAAACTCTAAAACTAGCAGCTAAACATAATCAGTTTTGAATTAAGTGCTTTTCTTAAAATAAGTTAATGCACCATCAGTTGATGAAAACTTGTGGTGTTTCCAGTTCAAGAAATGGTACCAGAAGTGTAATGTGATTTCGATGGACTTAACCGACAGGGCTGATTGTGCTCCGGAAAAAATCCGGATTTCCGGAATTTTCGCTAACAGTGATCCGGAAGTTTCCGGAGATCGAAGGTCCAGATGTTTCAAAAAATCATTGATCGCAGAAGTTTCCGGAAATCAAATTTTCCAAGGTGGAACTTAAAAACACAGTTTATTTTATTTGTTTGTAAGGAAGAGTCAGAGAGATACTTTATAAGCTTATATTCATGATTGATATTCCTTTTTTATCAGTAAATAGTTGTTATAATCATAAACTAAAGAAAGACATATTTGTAAATTTTAATTACTTCTACAGGTCATCATAGGTATGTGTAAAATTTTAAATATATTTTAAGTAAACTAAGAAATATTGAGAAAAAGGAAGAAAAAAAACCTTGTATAATTTTTTTTCAATTTAAACTGTCTTTTTTTTAAACACAAGAAATTTTCCGGAATTTTGACATGGGCTCACAATCACCCCTGACTTAACCACAACCGGGTCTCAAATCCTTTGAAACAATAAAAAAAAACTTTCTGTGTTCTTCGAAACTTACAGCAATTTGTCATAAATGTCGAAAATTTATTTTGCACACTAGGAAGAAAAAATTGGGGTCAAACAAAAATTTACAAGTATTTCAAATATAAATAAATAAGCTCTATTCATCCTTTTTTTACTTCGTCAAAGTGTTTGCCTTTAATACATAATTCTTCGAATTAAACTTTTTAGACTAATTAGTAACTTGTTTTTTTAAAATTATTTTTCATAAATTTTTAAGTCGTTTTTCCGTATCTATCGTTCGTAAAGAATGGTTCCCTGAGAAACGATCGATCGTGGTTCTATCGTATTACATGAAGCACAAAAGAGGACCATACTTAATCATAACTTTCCTTCGATTTGCTAATACTTTTGAGAAAAAGTATACGCAAAAGGGAATTTACAAATTTTAACTGTTATTAAGAGGTTTCAAATTCATATTCAGTGGATACCCTCACACGTGGGTCTTTTTGTCAACGAACGTGCTGATCAGTTGGCAAAAGAAGGTACTTCCCTCCCAGCCTCTCCAAACACGACCCTCACTTACTCTGAATTATTTTCTATCCGCAAATCTAAAGTTAATAAAGCTTGGCTTGTTCCACCGGATCACAATTGGTNCAGAAGTGTAATGTGATTCCGATGGACTTAACCATAACCGTGTCTCAAATCCTTTGAAACAATAAAAAAACTTTCTGTGTTCTTAGAAACTTACAGCAATTTGTCATAAATGTCGAAAATTTATTTTGTACACTAGGAAGAAAAAATTGGGTTCAAACAAAAATTTACAAGTATTTCAAATATAAATAAATATGTTCTATTCATCCTTCTTTTACATCGTCAAAGTGTTTGCCTTTAGTACATAATTCTTCGAATTAAACTTTTTAGACTAATTATTAAATTGTTTTTTTAAAATTATTTTTCATATATTTTTACCTCGTTTTTCCGCATCTATCGTTCGTAAAGAATGGTTCCATGAGAAACGATCGATTGAGATACTACCGTATTGCATGAAGCACAAAAGAGGACTATAGTTAATCATAAATTTGCTTCTATTTGCTAATACTTTTGAGAAAAAGTATATGCAAAAGAGAATTTACAAATTTTAATTATTATAAAGAGGTTTCAAATTCATATTCAGTGGATACCCTCACACATGGGTCTTTTTGGCAACGAACGTGCCGATCAGTTGGCAAAAGAAGGTACTTCCCTCCCAGCCTCTCCAAACACGGCCCTCACTTACTCTGAATTATTTTCTATCCGCAAATCTAAAGTTAATAAAGCTTGGCTTGTTCCACCGGATCACAATCGGTATCCCAGCAAGCGTCCTGGAGGAGCCCTTGTCCTTCAAGGTACACGTGGCGACCAAACCGCTACCTGTAGATTTGTCAGTGGGCATACTAAGAGCCTCACTTTCAGTGGACGAATTAAACTTTTTCCATCTTGTAAAAAGTGCAACTCCAGGGAGGCTAGTCCTCACCATCTACTTGATTGCCTGGATTTCACCATGGAAGAGGTTCTTGAGAAACCTCTCCTTTTCCTCGATTTTTTGAAGATTCACGGTCTCATGGATCTGGTATAGCTGGGATTGGAAACAACAACAGGTTTCAAATTAGCTTTTATGGTTTACTAATTATTAATAGACGCGACAAGGA